ACATTTCATGATTTATATTCTATGCTTTTAATGCTATTGTCAGGCTGTATGTTGATACAGTCTAATATTTATCTTTATGTTAATATTTTCCTTTTTTGCTGTTTTCCCTTATGGTCTAGCTGATTTGAAAATGTGTCAATACAAGAACCTAGGACTTTTTCCATAAGTGTCTATCTGTATGTAATGCTCTGTACTTGCCTACATTAAACATTATCTGCCAAGTATTAGCTTAGTCTTGAATTCTATCTAAGTCATTTTGAATTTTCACTGGATCTTCTACTGTATTTTATAACCGTCCTATTTCGATATCAACTGCAAAATGTGCAAGTTTACCAGCATTGAGATCTCTGAGATAAATTTGGAAGAATTGTGGTTCTATTACAGGTCCCTGTGGTATGCCACTAATTACATCACACTGATTGTACAATTTGTCCCTTAACTGTACTTTCTGTTTTAAACCATTTCTCAGTCCAAACACACATCAAATTTGAATGCTTACTGCCTGCAATTTGAGAATTAATCTTTTATGAAGGACTTTATCAAAAGCCTTCTGAAAATCTAAATACACATTATGCTCTATGTGTCCATTACTGTTCTTGCTTGATCAAAGAAAAAATCTTTATGCATCCCAAGACTCTGTTAGCTTATTGTGAGACCTCTGGGATCACATAAAGGTCTTTTAAGAAACATCTAGATAAGATCCTTGGATCAATTAACTACTAGCAGTCCAGCTAGATGGATAGAATGTGCCCCTCCTTTCATGTGTAATCTTTCCTATGGAAATATAAGATTTTTCTATTTTGCTTTTTACAAAGTCAGCTACTTATCTCTTTTTACAATGACCTATTTATGTTTGTGTGTGTGTGTGAAACTACAGTATTTAAACCAAAACCTAATACAATTGAAAATGATTGGAATATATCAGAGCAATACATTTCCCTTCTCTGGTCTGTCATTCTTATTGCACCAGTAGTCACCAAATTATATTAATCACCAAAAAGATTGTCCTTCTTTTCAAAAATTTGTTTAGGACATATGGTGTTGTGCTAATATTTATTTCACCTGAAATGTTTCATGAGCGTTCATCCAGACAGCCCCCTTTGGCTGTGTTCAGTTTCATTTAGAGAAATTGCAAAACCACATCTGAGAAAGTAAAAATAATAGTTTTTTTTTTTTACTGTAAATCCCTAATGGCAGATTTTTTTTTTTATTTCAGAGAGAAAAATCAATTTATTACAGATACCAAAATACTGAGAGAATTTCAGTCCCAATAAAACAATATACTGTAGTTGCTTCCTCTCAGTTGAATAATTTAATTAACATTTTTATCTTTCAAGGGGAATGTCACAGTAACAAGTAGAAAAGCACTGAGAATCCTGGCCTACATGTTTTTGCCAATTAATTAGTCATATACCATAAATGCTTCCAATTTCTGGTGTAGCTGAGTCACTGCTGTCGTGAGGCTGTAAATGAATGGTGTGTGGGTTCTAACTGAAGCTGGGAGACAGTGCAGTCAAAACCATTTAATGCTTCACAGTTGGACATTCTTTGTAAGCTAAACAAAAAAGAGCATGTCTAATTGAATTTGTTGCCACCTCCAAGCTAGTTTCAAGTGTACTGTACCTTTCAAATTCCATCTCAGACTTCTCAAGCTCACAAGAACACTAATCGTGAATGAGCATGGCGCAATCTCAATGTTTGTGCTCAGGGTATTTCTTTTATCCACATAACCTGTTGCCAAGTTAGTCAACATAAGAAAAACAGTGCTCATCTCAGCTGTCCCCCTGGCTTCAGTGGAGCTTTCTTATTAGAGGCTGCTGCAGTGCTCCTGGGCAAGTTAACCTTGATTGATTTTCCCTCTGCAGTCCATTGAACACAGAGGTTAAAGTAATACTGCCTGAGGGTTACCCCTCTGAGAGTCATAACTCAGAACAACCTACACTTTAACCAGTGATGTGACTCAAATAACTTGAGAACATCAGATACAGAGGGAATGACAGGAGGTCATCAGTCCTATCATTATCATTTGATTGCTAGTATGCTATGGATCCCCATCAGGACGTTCCAGTGATCAATAATATGTTTCGGCAGTTTGTTCAGTGCGTCCACCCCTCTCCAGCGTGTGTTCTTTTATATCGATATTTCATTTAAGTGTTGAGCCAGAAGTGTTGTTTGAGGATTTTGATACTTCACCAATACTGTAGACAATTATAAAGGGAACCTTAAGAACATGAGCTAAATAGGTCTGATAAATTAAGACAAACATCCTCTAATAAAAAGCACTCTTTAAAGTCTGATATAAAGTCTGGAGAAAGTAGTGCCACTGACGACCGGTAACAATTTAATTTTATATTATTTAAAGTATTGCTCTAAGCCAACCAATGCAGATGCTCCCAAATGAAAATTAACAAGTCATGCTGCCTTTAAAGCATATCCACATATTACATTTGGCACAAGTTAGAAAACATTCACTAATCTTCCCCTAGTTGTCTGTTTTGGGAGGCATGTGGCTATGGTATTATCCAAATTAACTAGATCACACTTGGTATCCAAACCTGTTTTCAAAAACCTTGTTTGTCAAATACTAAGTGCCGGCTCACTTATTAATCTGATTTAATGTTGGACACAGATATCAGAGCTAACTGGCTCCAGAAATGATAATTTATTAACCAATCTCAGTTTGCTCCTGATACACCCCCTGGCCTGTTTGTGGCTCCATATGTTCAGCTGTATCGTCCATCCAGAGTGGACTTCAGATGCCTTAATTTGGCTTGAACTGTGTTTACTTCCAGCTTGTGGACTCCAGGTTCTGGCTTAGCTTTAACTGGTGCCAGTATACATAATACATGAGCAGTTGTAAAAACTGACAGTTCTAAAATTGATTTATTACTGCTTCTTAATTTATTCCTACACTATGGCCATCAAGGCCGTGGACAGTGTATTTCATTCCTGATGCACAGCCTACTGCATGTGTGCTGTTAGACCAGCCTTGTTTTAACTCTATGCAATACTATATTACTGTATGTTTTGTGTTCTAAAATCTCGTTTGAATTCTAGTCAGGATGGTAACAACATGTCATCATTTCATTCTGACCTATAACCAAGCAAGAGCAATTCACCAGGTGGCATTTCCAGTATGGCAACTGAACTGGCACTCACCGGCATAGTCTGGCCGCCGTGGAGATTGTTGATGGCTGCCTGTGCTTCTGCATGACTGGAGAACTTGACAAAGGCACAGCCTACAACAAACATTCAGAAAACATTGGAGTTAGACACGGGGTCCCGACAAGCCACAAACTTCCTGTTGTCAGTGTCGGCACCACTGAAAGTGTCTACCACTGTGTGAGCTCTCACACTGAAGAGGTTCTACACGACTCACCTGTTTTACACAAGTTCTACACACAATTTATGCCTTCATTAGGGATTTATTTATTTATTTTATTAATGAATGTAAAATATTTGAAACTGGATAATGATCATTCTCATGTTTGGTAAAGGTTTTGTTCATTTTGACCATCAAAAAGTGTAGTCCCTTTAAACACTGGAATAAAAATAATTAAAAGTAAGAAAGATTCATAAATACTGTAGCATATACAAGGACAAATAAGTACAAGTTCCGATATTTCGATCAAAAGGAGGATGTAAAAAGATCTTTGCTCTGAGTTTTGGAATATAGGAAATGTGTCTCATATCCACCAAATCCTTTTCCACATTTTCTTGCATTGGTGAGGGTCACCTGGGCTCCTTCCTACTGTAGTTGCATTAAAATAGTCACTTTATTATTGAGCCTCATTGGTTTGTCATAATAAGCATCTTCTCATACAAATCAATATTGGGAGGAGGTGTAGCCTATGAAAGCAGAGGGATCAGGGCAGATTTTTCTGATAATTTGATCACAGCCCATAAAGTTAATAGTTAATTGGAAGTGTTAACATTCAGCATTGGTATTAGAGGCCCACATTACTACAGAGTTGTTTGGTTCCTTTTGTCTGGGGAAATGGTCTGAGACATTTTTTCAACATTCTGGACATGCATGACGCAGTGCTAATTGTTTAAATTACGTAATATTTTTAACCACCACCACATAGCAGAGATGTATATCTAAAACTATAGTATGATATTTGTAATATTGATTATTTTCTAATTTGCCACATCCAGCACGTAATACTGCAAATGAAAGGCACAGATGTGCCAGATTCATGTTAGAAACAACCACCATCAAATGACATTAACACAAAAAGCTAAGAGTCGAAATTATGCATCGTTACCACATTTTAAACCATAATGTAAATGAAGTAAATACCACTTCTGCTAATGAGTTATTAAGACTGAGTGAATAGGGTATAATTTCAGCAAAAACACACTGTTATGAGCATTGCATCTGTCTGGCAGACCAGCACAGCTTTATTCATTTCAGTTTCTGTTAATTAAAACAAAACATGAACAAATCAAAGCTAGAACAAGAATCGAAAGAAGCTAAAGGGAAAATAAAGAGGGTTTATACAGTACTGTATGTCTAAAGTTGTAATAGGACATACAACCTGAGATGTCTTAATCAAATGCAAATCAAGAAACTCCTTTCAGCTAACCTAAACCTTACCCTTCCCAATTCACCCTCCCGTTTCAACTCCTGATTTGCAATAGTTCATTGTTACTCTATTAGTTCAATTGCTACACCTTTGCACCAATATTAGTAAAATGAAACATACATTGTCTCCTGAGACCACACCATACCAAGACATCCCATTCATTGCAACTTCACTCAGTATGGGAAGATACAACAGTAAGAAACTACTAGAACCTGCAGTAGTTCTGTATGTTCCCAAGTCAATCAGAGGCAGGTGAGGACCTCCTTGCTAATTCTACATTAGTCTCAATAATTATGGCATTTGATCACTTTAGGACCCACATCAAAATTGTGGATACAGTCAGAGTCATAAAATGAGAGTTTCAAAATTATAGGCTTCATTCTACACTCATCTAATCACATTTAAATCAACATTTTAGTACTGTTTTCTACGACCACATGGTAATACTTTCCAAAGGCTCTATTTAAATTTTGGTCATGGTCAAAGCTAAGGTGAAGTATGACTTTTCTTTTTACCTGTAATCTAACTTAATAAGAATAGCTGCCAAAATTGAGTGATCTGCATTTTCATAACCTAACCTGTCAAGCCACCAAAACGTTTGACTGAGACCCAGAAAAAATGCCTCATATGCAATTAAACTAATTTCCTTTCTGAACAAGTTCAGCTTCCTCAGTCTTGATATAACTTGATAACAAAAATGGATTTTCCATCAGCATATTTACAGGCAGTAAGTAGAAAAAGATTAATGCAAGAAGAAAACACAAGTCTTGTGTGGGTTAAAGGGACATATGGGAGTCACGAATGTCTCAGAGCACTCCTGTATCGAATTGGGGGCTTCTGATGTAAACTGTGTGAAGGGATGTGGGAGTTTGGCGCTGACCCTTACTGGCCCCATCAGGCCCTCTCAGGATAGTGCACTCTTCGATCTGGCCGAAGGGCTCAAACAGACGCCGCACGTCCTCCTCGCTCTGCTGCTTCCCCAGCATTCCCACAAACAGCTTCCTGTCTTCTGAAAGAAAAAAAAAATACGAAAACAACAAAAACAAGAGATACAGCTGACAGAACAGTCTAAGGAGCTGGGAATTTGGAATTCCACACACAAAAAAAAAAGGTTCAGGATGTTGACCACTCCCGCCTTTTCTAAAAAAAAAAAAGTTATTTATTTCTAAGTACTTGTTCTAATAATTGTTTTCAGATCAGGGCAAATCATTTTTGGACTGACACAGATTGTGTTCCATTATTTCTCGATGCTTCCAGCAGGCAAATGACAGCACCATAATGTAGTAACCCAGCTCATATTTGCTGCTGCTAGGCATGGCTCCAGAATGGACAAGCAATCTTTTCCAGCTTGGATGCCAGTTTACTTACATCCACTCTCTGTATATCGCACATAGAAGTGTTTTGTTTTTATAACATATTTTAGAGAGGAACAAGCACAGCTGTAAAACACCCGTGAAACCTAAAATTTCCAGTAGCAGCAATCAATATTAAAACTCAGTTTCATCTGTGATGAAGGGCATTTAGCAGATTTGCTGCGATTCTCGAATGAGAACTGCCTCTGGTTTGTCCTTATGAGATTTGGCATAGTTGTTTACCAAGACGCCAGGGCTAAGACATGAGTTTGAGAGTATGCTTCTTTCCTGGGAGGTAAACAGAGATACTTCTACAGTCAAGGAGAATTATCTCTTTCATTAATCTCCTTTTAGCACCTCTCAGTCCTTTTCTTATGTGCTTAACGCAGTTATGAAAAACTTTCTTATGCAAAGCCTGAGAATTTATAAGCCCGTGCCTGATAGAAAGGTAAGAGGTATATTAGGAATGGCAATCTGGATGGATTCAGTCCTTTTTTGTCTTGAATCACTTTACTACAAGAGACAGTAAAAGGGAGGTGAAGAAAAAGCGAAAGAGATGCAGAAAGAGAAACAGAGAGCTGGGGGTGTGGGTGAGGGTGCAGACAGACACAGCAGGAACACCACCAGGGTCTCAAAAGATGTGCTGCCAGCTGTACATGCCAAACCCTGTTATAAGGTTGCAATTATGTTTGTGTGACTTACAAAAATAAAAATAAAAATTTGTTATCAGTTACACTGTATTCATTTTTTCTTTCCCCGTTTTACAGAAAAGTCTAAAATGTAAATTGCCTATCGTAAAACCTTATATTTTGCAGGTGAATAAAACACTTTGTGCCTCTGTAATGCTGGCAGGTATGATCTCCCTTACATGCTGGATGGTTTCCAACTTTTAGATGGTCGTTTAGTCACGCTTTATCTGCCAGTGCTGAAAATTAGCCAATTTTTCATCTTGTTCATTACTGCTTATCTCCCCTCGTTAGGAGAACCCAAGAGGCCTTGCACATTGACTGAAAGGGGCCTAGTGCGTGCTGCAGTTCCAGGAACCAGGCCTTAATTAAGCACTGAGTTTAGAGGAGGGTGGCACATATGGGGCAGCCATCTCTCCCTCACAGTCTACAAGTCATAACTTGCCTGAGTGGGAGATAAACATAGGTGAGGAGATTGTGTGAGGCCTAACCTTAACCTACAAGCATTCAAGAATCTCAGGGATTGACAAGTCAAGTTTTCGCAATGCATTCTGAATGAAAATAAAAGAAACATATTACTAGTTTCAAAGACTTCAATTAGACTAATCTCCCTTTCCTTTACCATGATGAACTGTTTCAGTTTTGTTTGGTGTCCTCATTTTTTTAATCCTACGGATTGGTGGTGTCTGCCTTTCTTGACTGATTCTAAAGGAAAAGGGCAGGGTCAGAAATTGTTAATATCTTAAAAATGGAAATGTTTTTCCCAGAAACGACTGTTTATATTCTGTTTATTTAATCACTTAAATACTTTTGTACATTGAGTTTAAGGTAAACTCAAATTCAGAGCCCGGAATTCAAAGAATTCCTTTCTTAGGTCTAATTCTTGTTTACTGCATTTAAACTAATGAGCCATAGGTCACCAATCCTCTTCAGTGATGCAAAAATAACAATTACACCAGCCATGTCTCCACAGGAAGGAAGATGGAAAGGCTAGTGAATTATCTTTGTTTTCTATAGAGGATACATTCAAAATTGAATTTAGAACCACTCTTGTTTCATTGCCTGACTTAATACTAATAAAGTCACTCAATTGGAATACCCAGCTTACTTTTTGCAGAGCTATACACATTGTCCAGCATATAGATTACAATTAATTAGTGTACTTTACACCTGTCTCTTAAGATGCAGTTATCGAATTTGTAGATTTCTACACTCCACAAACGAGTTTGCTATAACCCATTCTCAGGTTTTAAAGTGCATTTAAGAATATGAATAAATGACTTCTAATGCATACAGTGAATAAAGAGATGTTTAGCCTGAAGGAGAGCGAGACTCCTATTAAAAAAATCAATGAATACTGAGTAGAAATAGAATTATGCATTTTTATCCGAGTGATGAAATTCATGTACTATTCATCTAAGAACCTTGCATACTGTATCTGCATCATGTTATTTTAAGTCTGTACAGACTGTTACAAATCAACACATTTAGACTGCTCCCCAACTGCTACAAAAATATTTTCAGCATCAATGATGATTACAATGTTTATAAGTATCACATTATTAACATGCTGTATCAAAATATTTGGTCCTCAGGCTAAAAGCTAACTATATTACCACTCAAAACTGGTTTGTTAAATGTAATGTTACACATTGGTGTGACTCTCTGGATAGTTTGTCATTGCCATTAATGAAAACGCATTCTTAATTGACTCATAGTTAAAAAATAAACTTTGTTGATTGAAAATTTAAAATTAGAGTATACAGTATTTTGACGAGAAAGACAAAGCAGGAATGAAACTAAACTGAACAGAAATGGCATACATTTCATGAGGAAGAAGTTACTATCTCTCTTTTGTTTATGCAGTACAAACCAATGTCACGTTTGCATTTACAATCACCCAAACTTTACAGCCCAAACAAACATCAAACCTAGTCCCCAGGCACAGGGCATCTACTGTAGATGCTCTTGAAAAACCCTAAGGAGTGATGTCACCATAAAAAGTCTTTATATATTATTTCTGTTGCACTTACACTTTGGAACACTTAAAAAGGAACTAAAAATCACAGTACCAAAGAACAGAAGAGGTCTCTGTTGTCAATGTTTAACAAGCAATGCTTTTAAAACTACAGTAGTTAGCTATGTGAATAATGAACACTAAGATAAGTGACTGTAAACCATATACAGTACATACAGGTAGTAGTAATTGAAAATGCCAGTAAGAAAAATATATACTGATATTAAGTTATAGATGTTATACTATACTTAGTTATTTGTTTTTCTTATACAAATATTTTCCTGTTTATAAGTGGGAGCAAACCATGTCTACACCCTTGATTTATAATGCAAAGCCCTTAAACATTTTGTATCTTGTCATGGATATTTTGTAAAACTCTGAAGCCACCCTATTAAGGCAAACAGCTTTAACATAATAAATGCACATGATGCAACATGAACAGTAAAATGGAGCAGGAGTCTGTGTATAATATAACAAAAGTTGTTTACGCACACATGGAAAACACTTTGAATAACAAACACACTCCCCAATTTGTGTGTGGATCCATTGAGGGTTGTGGAAGATCTTATTTGCTCTGGCTGGTGTATTACAATCCATTATTTGGGATTTCTTTAATATATCTTGCCATGAAAACTCTGCTATGCAACAATACAAATAGCTTAAAAAGAACATATTTAACAAGGCAAGCCATGGCTGTGCAACTACTGAACCTCAGCCATATTTCAGTTTTGTACTAAATAAGTCCCTTTCAGGTTTCACAATTTCTGACAATCTACCTGTACGTAATGAATGGAAAGTGCCTGAAAGTGCCAGGGTAAAGAATGCGTCTGTCTTGTAAACTTGCAAAGACTTTTCTTTTTGCCACCAGGCTCATAGCCTGCATGAGTTTTATTTCTTGACTGAAGTAGGAAGAAATTTCATTGGGAAATGAGATGGAGCGTCCTGTCAGTCTTGAGCCCTGTCCAAATCGAAATTGTGTGTTGACGGCCAGGTTTATGAATGCAAATAAAAGAAGATCAAAGAAGTTATATCAAAACAGTACTGACATCTGACAATTGCTTGTCCGGAAAAGCCTTTTCATTTCAACACCCAGTGTATTAAAAATTAATGGGTTTTGCTGAAATGGCATATGCTGTCAAGATTGATGTTTTTCTCATCTGAGTCAAAGTACATTTTTTAGGATACAACATTGTTTTTTGTTTGCTCCCTCATTTTTCCAGAAGAATGTGCATAAGTTGCTTGAACATTTGTGTCTCCTGGCATTAATGCCAATTCTAACCAGCTTATCGAACATACTATTTCTGAGATTTTAGGTGTTCTGGCATAAAATACGTGCAGAGAGACCAAGAGAAGAAGAGGAAACCACATAAATACAAATCATGTTTATTTTAGAGCCAAAGGAATGTACTATATTCAATTTTCTACTACTACTGTATGCTGATTAGCCCTTTATAAAAATATATTTTTCCACATCTTCAACAGTTCCTCTTAAATAGCTGCTCAATAGTAAAGATGTGAAAAATGTTCTTTTATTGACAGTTTTAACATTGTTTATTCTCTACATTTTATACATGCAAAGCCAGGTGTGGGTAATAATCACAATTCCTAATATGCATGTGCATCTCAAAGATTGAATAATCTCTCTCTGAAAGCATGCTGAAATGCTACCTTGCTAAAAAAACATGAAATTAGTCTATCGGTAGACTACCATGTGAATTATTTTCTACTCTAGTTAATATAGCCCCCATTCAGCATTTTACATGTTTTAGATACAGCTGTAACAATAACTGCTATTAATTTGGTAGTAGGATTACAAAATTGATGAGGTAGGAAATCAGAACACTGTATTTGGTTTGTACAGTATGTTTCACCACAGTCCTCGTATACTAACAGGTTTTGCCTCTATACAGGAATAAATCCGAAATTACTTAAACATTACTGAGAAGAATTTAGC